GATCAACATGTCCGGCAGCTGCCTCTTCCTCCTCTGCATCAACCTGGACCGCTACGTCGCCATCGTCCACCCGCTCCGCTGGCGGCACCTGCGGCGCCCCAAGGTGGCCAAGCTCCTCTGCCTGGGTGTCTGGGTGCTGATCTTCCTGGGCTCCATCCCCACGGCCATAGTCCACAAGCAGAACCGCTGTGAGGTCCAGAACCAGACCGTTTCTCTCTGCTTCGAAAGCTTCAGTGACAACATATGGCAGAACAACCTCTTCCCCTTAGTTATCCTGGCGGAAATCTTGGGGTTTCTCCTGCCCCTCAGCTGTGTGACATACTGCTCCATCCGGATCTTCCAGGAGCTCTGCCAGGGCAGCCAGACAAAGACCCTGCGGCAGCAGAAGACTGTCCGTCTCCTCTTGGTCAACCTGGTCATCTTCATCATCTGCTTTGTGCCCTACAACACCACCCTGGCAGTGTATGGGATGATAAAGGCCCGAGTGCTGAAGGTGGAGCCGGAAACCAAGGACTCGGTCCGCCAGGTGTTAATCACCACGATGCTGTTGGCCAGCATGAACTGCACCCTGGACCCCTTGATCTACTACTTCAGCACCGAGGGCTTCCGTAACACCTTCAAGAGGCTGCGGCGGGGACAAGCCTGGGACTCGGACATGGGGACCCTTAGGAATCAGGTTGTGGAGAACAAGTCAATCCCAGCCCACGCTGTCTCAAAACTAAAACAGTTCCCGGCCAAAAACTTCATCCGTCCCAACGAGTCTTTGCCGTCGCTTCCCACTGCCCTGTTTTTGAATGGCCCTATTGAGGACTCGGAAATATGACCCTGGAAAGGTCACACCCCGTCAGGAACCACAGGAAGACTGTGGCTACCTTAGCAAACTGAGGGAGCAGAGCAGGCTGGGTGTGGGTGAATGTGATGATACCAAGCTGAAGGGTGGAAGGTTGTTTTGAATAAACGGAGAGAAGTCCTGGTGACACGGTCCCACCTGACTCTTCTGGTGCAGGAAACACAGTGGGGAACAAGGACTTGCAGGAAACCTGCTGCAGCCAGGTCTGGTCAGCAGAAATTCCTGTAGCAAGTCCATCCTGCCTGAGCAGCTCCCGCCTGCACCGTAACTTGAAGCTGTTCTGAGGCTGCTCAGAGAACAAAGGTGCTACTCACTGCTGACAGAGTGAATTCATTGTTAAGGACTGAGGGATTTGGGTTGTTTTTTCTAAATAGATGCTTCAAGTTGAGACTTAAGTCCAGCTTGGGGCACCTAAAGAAGTGTCTTAGTTTTCCAAAGGAGCTTAAACATCTAGCAACCCTCGTTGGAACCGAGGAGAGCAGCTGAGTGCTCAGCATTCTTGCAGAAAACAGGTTCCTAATTGTACAGTGAGTTACAGAGCTTAGCAAAGCCATCCTGAGGAGGGATGTCAAACGTGCCTGTGCAGCTGGACACACACACTTGCTGCACAATGGCAACACACCCACCTAAAGCAGCATGGCTTGGGAAACACCAGCATATTTTAAAATACACCCAGCACTCATCATGGCCCCAGGAGGAGAAAAAAAAAACAAAAAAAAAAGGACACCAATCCTGCTGTGGTTTCTGAAGCTCACACTGATGTTGGTGCTTTGCACTCCCTTGTCACTCGGCCCTGGGGTGATTGATTGCAGGGCTGAGTGCTTTTCACTGGTAACAAGAAATGGTGTCACAGAACGAAGCTGCAGTGAGATGTGTTTGCTTGCACTGTCTGTACACGCTGCTCCAGCCTGCACTGAAAAGCCCCATAAATCTTCCCAGAAGTGAGAGACCCAGAAGCAGGCAGGCAGTGCCAGAAACCCCTGCTATTCACTCCCGCTGGGCACCAAGGGCTGCCTTTCTTCTTGCACTGCAGAACAGCCTCTGTGGCTTCCAGCAGGACTCAGGCTGACCCAGAGTGGGTCCAATACAGGTTATTTACATATTTAAAAAAAAAAATGCTAAAGGAATGATAAGGGCAAGTGACAAAAAAAATGCTGTTCAGAGTAAAGCCCTGGTTCTTAGACTTCTAAATTAGTAATGAGTCTTATTTCAAGTCCCTACCTCATGACTGCCCTGGGAATAAACACGTTGCAAGACATCATGTCTTTGTGTTACGTTTTAGAAAACACATCAACCTTCTCTTTTACTACAGGTGACTGTAGAAGCAGGTCTTCTAGAAGATCTGTAGAAGATACCAAGCTCTCCACAGAGAGACCCTTGTGTCACAGACTGTCTTGGGACACACACGCCCTGGCCAGGCCAGTTCTGTCCCCTTTCTCAGCCTTGAGACCTGGCTGCAGATGGATGACATCTAATGGTGTCTGAGGGATGCAGTGAGAGAGGTGGAGGAGGGCTTGCAGGGCAGGAGGTATTTGTGTCTGGAAAATTCAGGAGTGCCGTGTGAATGTGAATCATTTGTGAGCTGGTGCAACTGGAGAGGAATCACGAGTTGTGTGCACACCTTCTGCTAGGGCCTAACATCCTAACCTTACCCTTCTCTTCTGAGAGTTACAAGGTAGTGGAGTGATATTGCAGGAGCTGCACTGCTGTCCACTTCCACATCTTTTTCCACCTTTCTCTTCTCTTGTGCCTGTGTCTCTGGTCCTTTCTCTCCTCCCCAGCTCTAATACACCATGCACCTCAGCATCAACACAATTCCTTTTCTTCCCTGGGCATTTTCTTCCCTGCCCAGAAAAGTTGATTTTTCTTGTCCTTCTAACTTGGCTAGAGTCCTGTCACAAATCCACAGAAAGATTTGGGTGGAAAGGGACCTCTAGAAGTCTCTACCCAAACTCCTGCTCACAGCAGGTTGCTGGGGACAGTGAGGGCTGCCAAAGGAAGGGCAGCTGAGAGCCAGGCTGGTAGCAAGGCAGGCAGAGGGAAGGGCTTTCCCAACAAGGGGAGGCACCTGAGCAAGGTAAGTAAGGCAGGTAAGTTGATGATAACTGGGTTCAGCTGAGAATCCAGATAGTCAGACAAGTCTGCAGTGACGAGGCAGGTCCAAGGTCAAACTAGGAAGTCAAGTCAGCAAGGGGATCAGGTCTGGAGGCAGCAAGCAGGGTGAGCCAGACCCCAGTGACTGACAAGGGAGGTCTTGGGTCAAGCCAGGAAGCCAATCCATGGGTCTAAATAAACACAGTGCATGGTCAGGCACGGGCAAGGCTGCTCAGGCAGGAGCCAAGGGCAAGAGCAACACTTTAAAAGCAGCTCTTGGGGCAGGGGCTCAGCACTGGCTGAGGCTCCAGCAGAGCTTTCTGGGAACTTCCCCTGAAGTCACCAGAGGGAAGGAGCAGTCCTCAGCTGCACTCTCTGACCTGGTCTCAGGCTCACACAGCCAAAGCCCCAGGGGCAAGGAGGATGTAGTTGAGACCCTTAGCTAGTTCGTGTTGCTCCAGACCTTGTCCAGGTGTATTCTGAGCACTTCCAAGGATAGAGGTTTCTCAGCCTGTCGGGGCACTGCTGAAACATGCCCTTGGGAGAGGCCTTTCCTAACACTCACCAGGAATCTCCCTTGTTGCAAGTGTTGGTTGTTGCCTCTTGTGCTTTCTCAGGGCCACTGCAAGCAGAGTTTGGCTCCATCTTCTCTTGGCAAACTTACAAGGTATGAATGAGATGTCAGGTGGCAGACACCACTCCTTTGGAAGAGGCTGCACCTCTGCCAAGTATCCCCCCCCAAAAAAAAACAACAATATAACATATAACTCCTCAAAAAGAACCTGGAAAAACATCATCTTTTCTTACCATTTCACTCCTGAAAATAGTGGAACTATTTTTACCTCCTGGAACATTTTATAAATATTCCACCTCCAGCAGAGGAAATTTTAGCTCAAATATTTTGACAAAATTTAAAATAACTGCAAAGCTAACTGCTAAGCCCTGATGAAGCTCATCAACCAGTTGAACAATGAAGGGGGCTGCTGGTCATGCTACACACAGCAGAGAGGTTCCTGACTGGGAGTTGCTGGAGGTTTTCCTTCATTCTTTATGGAATGTGCATTTTGTGCTTTGAGTTTTCTATCATTTTCAGCTTGCATTGGTTTTGTTTCATTTTGAGGGGGAATTCTAGTCAAATGTAATCACTTAGGATTCTGTAGGGGATTTGGGCTATTTTTCATGTCTGCCAGAGAGAATTAGTGCTAGCTAGGTCTTCTGCTTCTGCATTTTTGCCTTTGTTAGACTGATTTTTTCATTCCATCATGTGGTGATGAAGAGGAGAACATGCATATACTGTATCAGTGAAATGAGTCACTCACCCTACCCTGCTGTATAGCTGCTGTTTAATGAGTTTCTACAGAAAACAACAACAACAAAAAAAAAAGCCAAACAAACAAATCAGAAAGTCCTGGGGTGTGATGGTGTCCAACAATAGCAACTGCTACAAAATGAACCTCTTTAAAGCACGTGTTTAAAACATCAGGAACAAACGACATGAAGCCATGGTATTCAGGGAAGCAAAGTTAAATGGGAATAATAAGCTCAGCAAAGCCTCTTCAGCCTGGATAATTGACTCTCCACATCCTACTGCAGCAATTCTTGATTGGTATTCTTGTTAACTATGGCAGGGGTAAAAGATGCCATTCCTTGCTTCCCTGCACTTCACGTCACTCGCAGATGTGAACATTAAGTAAATGTGTTCTTATCAAGCAGGAATAGCCAATGAAAGGTCAGAGAGATGACAAAGGAGCACAGAATGCTTGCTCTATGTGGAGCAGACAGAGTACCTGCAAAACATGCATAAATACATCAGGATTTCTAGTCTTCTGATTTCCAGAACAGACCCACCAGTCTACTTCTGGAAATGGTTCCTTTTTTGGATGATATTAAAACATTTTGTTATGATTATGAATCATCATCTTAAGTGTATTTTAGATTTTCTAGAAACCCACTGGCTCTCTGGGTTCTTTAAGTCAGCTTGAAAAGATCTTTCAGAAGTCCCAGAACAAGTCAGGCACAATATTCAAATGGTTTTGTTACTTCCTGTGTCCCTTCCACCAGGTATGGCCCTGTGCCTCCCAGCGCTTGGTGTATCATCCCTCCAATGAAAGATTACAAACGTCCTGAGCAACTTAGGCCGTGCCTGCTTTGAACCTGGGAGGTTATTCCCCCCCAGCCCAGGCTCCGATTCCCCCCAGTCTCTGGGAGCTGAAGCAGCTGTCCTCCAGAGGTCCTCCCAACCCGAATCATGGTGTGATTCTCTGACCTGGGCTTTAGATGCCGAGATCCGAAGCATTTTTGGTGGGTTTTTTTGCTTCCTCATCCTCATTCCCTCTGAGAGCTGCTCTCGCTTGGGCTACACTTTGCACACCCTGCCTGCCTTCCAGCCTGGATCCCCTGGCTGAGAGGGGCCAGTCTAAGCTTCACATTTCGCTGGTTTCATTGGAAGCCTTTCTTCCCAACCCGTGCGTTCTGCAGGGGTAACAGAACCCCGGCCACGCTGCCACTGCTCTGCTACCTCCCCGCACCCCGCCGGCTTCAGGCTCTCCTTGCAGTTCCCCACATCTCCATGCTATCCCCGTCAGTCTCTGCTCTGACACTCAAGGAGACCTCCGGGTGTGCACCATTTTATTTGCCTTGCACAGCACCAGAGTGGTCTCCAAGGGCTACCCAACAGCACAAGGAGAAACAGCACAACGCAGCGATGTTATAGAACCCGCTGTGCTGCTCGTTTTGTTGGAGGGTATTTGACTTTCTGGACGTGCTGGACACAGCTGTCCCTGGTTTAACTTGCTTCTCTCGGGTGGTAACAGCGGCAAGGGAGTGGTGATCTGTCCTGCCGTGCCAGTGGAACTTCCCTGCCCTGCAAATTGTATCCCCCGAGGCGCAGGAACCCGCTGGAAAGACAAAGGGAACAAGAAAGTCCTTTTCTCTGAGAGGTCAAGGGGTGGAGGGAAAGGATCAGACTTTTCACTGCGAAGTGATGATAAAACATCTTTCCCGGCTTCGGGGCGCGGGGCGGTGGGGGAAGAGTAAAAGAAAGGGGGGAAAGGAGAAGAGAGAGCAGCAGTGCGGGCAGCACTGAGCCAGGAAGCTGTCACTGCAGCGGGAACGGACTCGGGTGACGGGACCGAAACCCGGGCACGGCGGGACAGCCTGTCCCAGCTTCAGAGGGATGTGCCTGCAATTCCCAGTCCCTTATTCTCTGCCCTCTCGGGAGCCCAGGGGAGCCCGTGCGGGCAAAACACACGGAACCCGCCGTGGCCAGGGCTGGCTGGAAGGAGGAGACCGCTTGGAGACGGCGGATTTCGCTGTGACCAACCCCACGGTTTGTTCCGGCCTTCCTGATTCCGGAACAACAAAGGATTTGGAACCTAAACCAGCACACGGTTGCAGCGATGCCACCGCGCACCCCAAGGCCGGCGCAGGGGGTGGATCCCCGGGAGGGAGCGGGAAGGACCGGCCCCCGGTGCCCGGCGGGCGGGGCAGGCT